CTCTTTCAGCGAGTGTCCCCGGCGGGTCCCGCCCCTTCGTTCCGGCGGAGGCCGCGTCGGGCGCGCAGGGCGGGTATCTCTCTTGGCGAGGCCGGGGGATTGGGTGTAGGTCGGGGGCCGCCGCGGCCGGGCGTTCCTAGTGGTCCCGGGGAGCTCTGGCTCTTTCCTGCGCGCCTACCCCTGCAGGCCCGTGGCCCCTCTTTTGCCGGCGTGTCCGGCGTCATCCCCGGCAGAGGTCGCTTGTGGCTTCTCTTGACACGTGCGGGGACCAACCACAAGTTTATTAAACCGTAAAGAGCACTCGCCAGTGGTCCCTTGATTCTCAGGAAAAGGGCCCAAAGACCAAAGTAAAGTAGCAAATAACAAGGCGTGGTGGCGCATGCCTGTAATCTAAGCACTGGGGAGCTTGAGGTAGGGGAGGCCAGCCCGGACTACCCAGCGAGAACCCGTCCGAAAACAAAAAACGCAGCAAACACCATTTGGATTTAATATGTCCTTTTATGTTTAAAATTTAAGATTGCTGGCTAAATGGTTCTAATTTGTTGATCTCCTTTTTGAAGATGTATGTAGTTTACACATAGATATTCACTTTTTATTCTTTGAGCTCAAGGTGTCTTTAGACCTTCTTCTCTCTCAAACCTTTTTCCTCTGTTTCCCTAGTTTTCCCTAAAAGTTGAAACCCTATCATACGTCATTTATTCTTTTATTTCCCTCATCGAAGACATATCTCCAATTCAGGTTCGTTTTGTCTCTTGATATCGCTCTTGTCTTCACTTCGCTCTCTGTAATACCTTTATGGAAATTACTACATTCACTCAGGCAACTGTTAAGAGCTTTACTATGCATTTTATGTAAACTACATTCCGTAATCCTCACAACAACCTTGATGAGAATATGATGTTATTGTATTTACAAATGAAGAAATTGAAGCCCAGACAAGTTAAATAATCTATAGGATTTTACAATGTAAGTGGCAGAGAAAGATCGCATTGCTCTGACAGTGTGATTTCAGGCCCCATGATTCCATCCCTAGCTAATAAGATCTGTGTTTAGAAAGATATGGGTAGGTATTACTGTGTGTGGACAATATGAACATCTGAGAGAAACTGATAAAACAGAATTCAACAAAATGAATCATCTCAAAATACCGAAAAAAAATTTTTTAAAGCTACCAGTTTGAAAATGCATTGAATGAAGAATTCATTCACAAAAACTTGACTGAAAGTAGACAAAAAGATAACTGAAGGTGACTGTGATGGTGCATATCTGTAATTCTGACCCCCTGGGAGGCTGGAATTGCACATTCCAGCCCAGCCTGGGCAGGTTAAGCCACGTGGTGAGACCGTCTCAAAAAATAAAAAACTGGGGATGTAGGTCAGTATGAAGGCCTTCACTTCAGTTAAATCTTCAGTGCTGGTCAGGGCAGTTGAGGGAGAGAACACTTCCAAAAGATCGGTGATGGATGATATGAAAATAGGATGAACTGTCTGTTTATTCATATTGTTTGCCTGTTTTTCTCTTTAGCTGTTGATCTTACTCTTTCAAATTTTATGCTGTCTGCAAATATTTTGCTCACGTTTTGTCTTGATTTTGCCAATGGCATTTTTCAGTGTTAAAAATAGGGGTTTTGTTTTTTCCTTTGCTTTATGCACTTAAGGGTCAGTCTTTTGTAGTTTCTGGGGCTTTTCTAGTTTGTGATGGAAATATTTTACTTTTTTTTTCAGTTTTATTGAGCACATGCTACATGTGGGGGGAGGGGTGTTCTAGGCCCAGGGGTTATAGCAATAAATGAACAAAAGATATTAAAACCTTGCTGTATAAAATGTATTTTATGGGAGAGAGGAGGAGACAGGCTGTATATAAATATATGGTGTTTTAGATAAATGCCATGGAGAAATGAAAAGAGAGTAGGGGGTTAAGTACTAGTAGGACAGAGGGAGGGTGTTCATATTTTAAAGAAGACAGTTGAGGACAAGCCTCAGGGATAACTCCAGTAAGTAGCGTCTGAATCAGAACAGGAAGGAAGTGAAGGATGTTAGTGTGTGGGGAGTAGAGTGTTCTGTGTGGGGACAAGGAGATGGGGTGGTATGTTGTAATTGAGTGCAATTAAGACAGGCCTTGAGGTTTGGGAGGTGCTGGGGAGGGTTTGGGGAAGCAGCTCAGGTAGGGACTTAAGGTACCACAAATTACTTTGGCGTTCATTCTGATTGAGATGAGTCCATCAGAGTGCTTTCAGCAAGGAGCAACGCTATCTGATGGGTGTTTTAGCAGGGTCACTCTGGCTGTTGTTGAGGGTAGACTGTAGGGCAGCCAGAGCAGCTTGGATCACTTATTAGCAAGAAGTAGTTAAATACGGGTATATTTTGAAATTAGAACAATTTCCTCAGAGATTTGGATGGGAGTTGTGAGAGAGGAGTTAAGTTCTATTCAAGTGTTGGTTAAAATCATTAGAAGATGGGGTTGCTCTTTAAGACAGCAGGAGGGTTTGGTTTCAGAGAGATAAGATTCAGTGTTGAATATGTTCAAATTATGTCTGGTTGATATCCAGGAGGATATGTTGGGTAGGAAATGGCTATGTTTGTTTTAAGGGGAGGAGTCTGAGTAGGACACTTGAATGTTAACATTAGTTAGATTAGATACAATTACAAACCATGGGACAGGAGGAGTTCGCTAGCAACAAGAGTACAGTGAAGAGAAGAGGTATGAGGACTTTTAGAGTTGTAAAGGTGAGGAACCAACAAAGGAGACGGAGAATTAGCAACTAGTGAGGGGAGAAGAAACCAGGAGAGTTTAGGATACCTGAAGATGGCTTAAAAATGTGTTTTAGTCAGGCTCAGTGAAATACACCTATAATTCCAACCCTGCCTCTAAGCTGAGGCAGGAGAATCGCAAATTTAAGCCCTATCTGGGCAATTTAACAGCTTAGAGAGACTCTTTCAAAAAAGGACTGGGGAACGTAGCTCAGAGCAAAGGCCCTGGGTTAAAGTCCCCTAAAATTGTTTTACAAACAAGAAGGTGGTCAGCTCTGTCCTGTCCTACTCATCAGTCAGTTCATATAAAGGCTGAGACTTGTGGCCCTTATTGTAGTGGTAGAAGTGAACACGTATTTGGAGTTGGCAGTGTCAGATAATAATGTGGTTTCAGGGCACACACTTGTTCACCAGTGTCTGAATTTTTCCATCTCTTCGTTTATCTTAGGTTCATTAGTATTGTTGGCATATTCTCAAGTAATTAGCTATACATTTCTATGCATGATAATGTCATTCTTGTGAGTCCGAAAACAAATTTTTTCACCTTCACTCTTGAATATATTTCTCCTAACCTCAGAAGGAACCCTACATTCTGCCTGAAATGCCTTCTCTCTCACATTTCTCTTTGCTAACTTAATGGTCTTTTGGATTTAACCCTCTAGTTCTCAACTGTAGGTTTACAGAATTCCTTATATATGTACCTCTACTTACCACACCGTATTGAAATTGCTTTATATTTTTTTCCCCAAGCAGAAAGTTCTCAGGAAACAAATAGGTTTGTCTTTTTCATTGTTGTATCCCCAGCCAAGGGCCTGATATATGGTGACTGTATTTGTATTTGTTGAAAGAATGGAATGCTGGATGGATGAATGATTTATAGCAGCTAATTCTTGGATATTAAATGTGTGTGCCAGCTGGTTGTGGTGGTGCACCCTTGTAATTCCAACACTCGGAAGGCTGAGGCAGAGGGATCGCTGTGAGTTCAAGACCAGCCTGGGCTACATAGTGAGACCCTGTCTCAAAAAAA